GACCAACTGGGATGGGATCTTTAGCTGAAAACAAATTTTTAATTTTAAATGAGGAAAATACAATTTTTAAATTTAAGTCATCACAGAATTCATTCGATAAGGCACGGATTTTCTTACTAAGGACTTTGGAAAATGTGCCGACATAAGGTAATTTGAAATAAAAAGTGATCTTATCTTTATTTATATCTTGCTTTGTAGTACTGTCACGGTTCATTCCACATAAAAAATTTTTAGCTTGCATACATTGAATTTTTACTCCCCTATATCAATGATTGCCTGCGTGCAATAGATAACTGACGATGGTAGTGGACTGCCGAAACATGTCTTATTGGGGCCGTTAAGGCCATAACTTATTTGATTAAATACAGGCTTTGCCTATGATGAAGATACGATCTGTTGTGTTGTTTTTGAAAAATATATATATATATTATTTACATATATATATATGTATATATTGTATGTATGTTTATTTATTTATTTATATTTATATATTTTATTTATATTTATATATTTTATTTATATTTATATATTTTATTTATACTTATATATATATATATATACATATATATATATACACATATACATATATATGTATATATACACGTATATATACATAATATATATACTATATATATATACGTATGTATATACACGTGTATATATATACATATATATATATACGTATATATATATACGTATATATATACACGTATATATATACATATATATATATATATACGTATAATATACATGCGTATATATATATATACACACGCGTATGTATGTATATATGTACACGCGCACGTATATATATACGTGTATACGTATATATATATATTTATTTATTTATATTTATATATTTTATTTATATTTATTTTATTTATACTTATATTTTATTTATACTTATATATATACGTATGTATACGTATATATATGTATGTATATATATACGTATATAAATATACACATATATATATATACATATTATACAGTATATATACGTATAATATACATGCGTATATATACACACGCGTATGTATGTACATGCGTATGTATGCACACGCGTATATATATATATATATATACACGTGTATATATATATATACACGTGTATATATGTGTATACGTATATATATATGTATATGTGTATATATATACACGTATATATATATAGGGCCTATATACTTTTTAAGCCATGTATCATGCATAGGAACGTTGACGCCTGCAAGGCTCTGGTTTATTATAAACCTATTTTGTGCAATTATCTGTGTTTTCGTTTTATAGTAAGGGCCCCAATGGTGATAAGTTTATAAACTTTTGTGGGTTATTCCTTAGTTCATTCATATAATGTTGTCATTTGTTTTGTTGTATGATATTTTTGTCATTTTTTTTATATACTTAAACAAGTTTGTGTTTTTGTGATCATTCTTTTTCTTAAAGATGCA